ATTAACTCTTTAAGGAATCTAATAAAAAATCTGTTTAGTCCTAAGAAATGGTTTTTTAAGCCCACAGAGAAGGATCTTTATCAATATAGAGCTATATTTTATTTGAAACAACATTTAATTGAATGAAATAAAGACACAGGCATTCTTTGGCTCCATTTAACTGTAAACATTAAAAAGATAAATACACACTGTTTTGAAGAGGACTCTTAGATGAAATGTAAAACTCTCTCATAGGAAGAAGAGAATCATTGAAATTAAAATTACTTTAATGTTTGAATATAAAGGATCGCACTAAAACAGAAACCAAAGAAACGGAACTTGTAATTCTCCTAAGACACAGGCTGAAAGTGAATTGGCTGAACTTTTTTTTTTTAAACAGTGAGGACTTTCTAGTTCCTAAAAATACACCTACAACAAAGGAAGTGTAACTATTATATGATACACAATTCTAACAGCCAAGTTGGAAAAAAAATTCTTCAGTAAATTACAGTATTTAAAATACACATCTCATTCTCACCAGAAGATAACTTCATCTTCTAGAGAATATTTTAATAAAAATTTCACCATGCGGGTTATCTGCCTCAAAATATCAGGACTCGTATGCATACCTGGGCCAGGCAGTTAAAATAAACATGCAAGGAGAGCCTGTTGTTAGAAATAGGACATGAAAGGGACTGAAGACTGCTGGCCTCTCCTAACGGCATCGAAAAACACAAACAGAAAACCTTAAAACACTCCATGAGCCAAACAGTGTTTAAGAGCCATATGCAGCCTCCCAAGCTGCCAGATTGCAGCTCAGAGAACTAGAAAAACAGTAGCCAAGATACAGCTCTACCAAAAAAGTGAACTTAGCCAACAGTAAATGCCAATAAATTGTCACACTCAGAGTGAATAAAATAGAATGATTTTTCACGAACATGCTTTAATTAGTAATCTTCACTTACACAATGTGAGGTACAAATGAGTACAACAGCAACCCATGAAGTGTGTTGATTATTAACATCTGCCATATGTCCTTGGACTCTAGACATTTCTACCTCCAAATAGCAAAGGGAGAATCATAATCCTGACTCTCCGATGGTCTCAGGCACTCAGAGAACCAGAACATCTGAGGTTCATCAGCAACTCAAGGCCTCTTTACTCAAAAGAGGTCAAGCCATTCCTGGGCCCTAAGCGTGATCTGGGTGCACATCCTGTGATAGGCCAGAGGGGCTGGCCTTCATAAGCACAGTAATTTATGGAGAACTTGAGGAAAAGTGGTACATATCAAAATGCATTTGTAATCTATTTTATGTATCATTAAATATAGAAAGAAAAAAGTAAAAGGGGAGGGGATGACAGAAAGAGAAACAAAGCAAAAAGCCCCCATGCAATTTTCCCAGACCATGAGGATTCGGGGAGGAAGTGAAGCCATCCATCACTTTGTGAAAAAGTGAGCATCACAGGAATAGGTTCTAGCTACTTGAAAGCCAATTTCCTGGGTGTTTAGATATAGGTTGACTGCAGAATGAGACACTATAACTTCTGTTTCTACTGGAAATTCCAGAGAAACTCAGAAAAAGAGGCTATCGTTCCAGCAACCAATCTAGAAAGCCAACAGTAATTTTTTTTAATATAGAGTCTGATATGTTTAGGATTCCTTAAATATGTATATTAGATCATCACTTGTTAGATAATATTTTCCATGCGGTTTCTTTAAAATAAACTATTAATATGGTGCTCAAAGACTGAAGGAAATATTTGTAATGCATCATTTAAACATGCAGACTTCCATGTTTTATAATAAGTTCTACTGACATTGACTCCCCAGACTTCTAAAATACTGAAAGATACTGATTTCTTGGTCTTTGCCCAAAAAAACCTTAAAGTTGGATTCTATAACCAAAAAGAATTCAGTTTTAGTTGGACTCTTGATATACATAAATCATCATTACTAATAATTACTAAATGAAATAAGATATCAATGAATCCATGTTATGTATAATACACGATCTATTCAGCAACAATTACTGACAATTTACTGTGTGCTAAGCACTATATGAAGGGCTTTACACAGATTATTTCACCATTTCCCTTAATCTTCTCCAAAAACTATGTAGTAGACACTGTTATAATGTCCAATTTCAATTGAATTAAATAAGGCTCAAAGAAGTAACCAGCAAAAGACAATGGAACTCAAACCCATGTTCGAGGTTATCCTCTCCCTCAATTGTGCTAAATTGTATATAAAACAGAGAAAGTACACTTTCACTGAATGGTAAAGAATACTAGAAGATTCCTAGGTTTTATAAAAATTATAATTTATCATAAAGAAAAGCTACATAGTGTCTAGAGTTTAATTATGTGTGTCCAATCTTCTTCCTGGAAGATCTTCAAGCCTGATTATCATTTTTAAAAGATAGTATTACATTATGAATGCTTCATATATTTAAACCTAAAATTCATAGACAGTGCTCTTAACTCTGAAAGAATTTTTATTAGGAGGAAAAGCCAAACAAAATCCTGAAATCCATGAAAGGTATAAAGGAAATTCAAGATTTTAAGAGAATTCTATCACAGATGGTTCTTTTAAAGGAAATAAGAAAACAAAGTTAAAGATCACTTCATAGCTTGTTATATGACCAGTGTACAATCTCATCTTTACTGAGGATGCCAATGTACAGTAAAATAGATTACTCTTTTCAAATAATGTGAATAGTAGCAAAGAATGGATATCATTTGAACTAACCTAAAATCGAAACTGGAAAACCCAAGTTTGACTGTGACCCAACTGATCTACTCAGGAGTCTCATAAAACACAGAACACATCCTAATATTAAAATTCTTAAATTATTACTGAATTGTGTATTTATCATTACTAACTTCATTAACAGATGCTATTTAATAAATATTTTGGCAATGAAATTTTCCATCATTCCTTTAAATAAGACCTTGAGACTTAGTATTACCAAAGCAATGCCTCCTAGATATACTGTTTAAACAGCTCTTTAAAAACTGAAATTCCAAAACAAAGGAAATTCTATGTAGTTATTTAGGAAAACATAAAGTCAACCTTCTAAAACAGCACAACTTTAGAGAATATTTTTTTTGCTAGGAAAAAAGAAATGATTTCTTCATATAGATTGTGAACTCAGTGATAGCCTAGTATGAGTGCAAATTTAAATGTATTTTGAAAAGTTAATGAAAATACTGTGGTCGTGAGGTTACATCTTGTAAGATTTGGAATCCCTTGGTTTATCTGTTCTTTTATGTCAGTTTATGATAAGACCTAAAGTTCCACTATAAAATGCCTATATTAAAAAATAAAATATTATGTCAATTCTTGAGCCACGTAGGTCACCCGAGTTTATTTTACTCTCCTCGGACATAAATAGGTACACAGCTAGATGAAGATTTTAGATGCACAGCAGAATCAATGAAAACTTGAAGGGAAGGACATTTACATGAGAGATTTGTTAAAACTTTCTATGTGATAGTAAGGCAATAAAGTATCAAATAAAACGATAAATTTCCATCTCTATTTTTAAATACAGATAATTCTGTTTACTCATCCCTACAGAGTAAATGTCTCCAAAGTAGTATCTTCATATAAACAAAATCAACCTAACATGTTTTCTATACTGTGTATTTATTTTATGCCTTTCAGTTACTTTTATATTAAATGGAGAAACAACTATCTTTCGGTGAGTTTATTCTAAAATACCTATTTTTAACTATAATGTTCTTACATTGCAAACATTTTTATTCTACAGGGTAGTCATAGTTATATGGAAGAAAAATTATGATTTTATGAAAATGAGGTATATAACAATTTTAAATTTGCGAAGTACATATTCCAAATAACTATTTATTGATAATTTTTACTTTCTGTAATAGATAGGAAATATTCCCCAAAGTGTAAATACTACAAAGTATTAAAAATAAAGCAAAAGTAACTAAATTTTAGGATTATACTTCCAAAAGAAAAATTAATGGGACTGTGTGATCTTGAGGAATCATGACTTCACAAGAAACCTATTTTCATGTTTCTTCTATGTGGGGAGACATGAAAATTTTGAAAAGATAAATAAAAGAGTTAAGTTATAACTTAAATATGTGTGTATTGGGTAACTGACTATATCAACTCCAACGACTTGAAAACCAAACTACTCAAAACTGCAATATACTATTTAAATATTAAATCAAATTTTACTAAGACTAACCTTTAGAAAAACTACTTGAAACAAAATTGTATTTCATTTCAAAACAAATTTCTGAAGGAAAAAAAATCCCAGAGTATTTCATAAAACTAATTATCACAATAAAAAGAACAGTTCATAACTCAGAATATATAAATAACAGCTGCTGTTCAGGAAATAGAAAGGCAGACAGCGACCAACTGTAGTCATAATATTAAAGTTACTTAACATCTTCAGAACTTCTATTTTCCCAGAGAACTAGTTCCCTTTATCTTGTGAATAAATCTATCATAAACGATAAACTATGAGTTAACGTTTCCTATGATTTAAAAAAAATACATGTTAAATTTCCACATGAAAATCTTCCATGAAAACCTAAACTATTCGTAAACAAAGAGACGCGATTATATACCTCATCAAAACAACAACAGCAACAACCAACTGAGTACCAAACGCTCCAAGTCACAACCCAAGAGAATAAAATTAGTCCTCTTGCTAGAGACAGGGAATGGATAAGCACATAGAGAAACACCAATAAAGCAAATAGAGGAGAAATAGCATCTTGCAGATAATGTGATCATATATACAGGTTCCTGCTTAAAGGTAAGGGTCATGCTGATAAAACCAAAAACAAAAACAAAACAAAAACGCCTCCCACAGGCCTCGGCTCTGTGAAGCAAGTTATTCCCCACAATCACCCTTGTGTCCATACACGGCTGATGCTGTCATTTTCAAGCAAGAGAATACACATAGTCATTGCCCCAGACAATAAACTGGCATGCATTTATAACATGTGAACACTTTCATCACAGCCTGTCTTACCTCATAAGACCAGACGCACTGAGTTCCACCAAAGCGTCGAACACACCGTCCTACTTCCACGTCCTCATGGGTCGTGTACATTTCTCTGAGGCATTCACCAATATGTGGCACCATCCTCCTGAGAACCTCTCGACTGAAGATCATGCCAGGTCCTCCCATACAGAAGTTCTCTCCAGGCTCCAGCCCCAATTTTCCAAGTTCTTCAATGTTCCCCAGGCCAGTCTGGCCCAGGTAGAGAGGCTTGCTGCTATTCAGTGATCGAAGGAACTCTTCTAACTTATCACCTACAAAGAGAAAGGCGACAATCTCTCCTTTTCCTAATTTCATAATTATTTGGAACATACAAAGGAAAGGCCTTTCAACCTCGTGCACAAACTCCCCAAAAGTCATAATACAACTGAAAGGAAGAAAAACCTCTCTGAATATTCTATTATTTTAAAACTACTAAGTTTCAGCTACTAATCAAGTCATAATAGAATGTTACTAACCTTTTAGTAAAGGTCGCTGGAAAACCTCAAGTGTAACAATCATCAGACTCTTTTTTAATAAAAGGTGAGATTATGATAAGGAGAATAATGATAAATTTCTTAGCATATCTGAAGTAATGATAAAATTTTCAGAAAATAATAAGTTATATTTAGCGTTGATTGGCAGATTGTTGATATCCGATAAGTAGTTTTTCCTGATAATTTGGTTGTGTTTTGTCCTAAACTAAACTTCAGTCACATACAACACAAAAATTGAGGAAGATAAAGAATATTAAAGTTGTGTTGGAATTTAACTTTGGAACTTTGAAAAGCACCATTTTAGAAAAAATAAATATTTGTTAAAATAATGTAATTGGTTTCCTTATACTATGTTAGGTTCATCAAGAAAAACCATTTAAATGGCAAACTGTGTAGCTGAAATAAGTTCAAACACATTTGGTATTCTACAAAGTGATACAATGAAGTAGCCACCTTCTTTATATTCCGAGTCAGCATCTTTACTATCAGTTTTTGATGAGAACCCATCTGCATTTATCTTGATGCCACACCACACCCACCCACACACACACACACACACACACACACCTTGGATTTCAGTGAGGTTCAGCTGACTATTATTGGGTTCTTAATTCAAAAAGCATTTCATTCGGGACAGAGATGGGAAGAATATGGCACTTCAGTGTTCTGAAGGACAGTCTTTCAAGGCATTAAGAGACATGACAGAAGTCGTGCGTTTTAGAAATTCTCTGTGAAGTGTGGCAAACTTCACAAAGGCCAGGAAACCTTTGTGACTTTAATGACACACAGAAGACAAGGGGACTAGAAGGAACTATCACTTATAGGTAAAGATATCTATACATCTTTTTAAAACTTTTTTTATGTTTTATTTTATTATTGAGACAGAGAGAAACAGAGCATGAGCGGAGGAGGGTCAGAGAGAGAGGGAGACACAGAATTCGTAGCAGGCTCCTGGCTCTGAGCTAGCTGTCAGCACAGAACCAGATGCGGGGCTCGAACTCACGAACCACGAGATCATGACCTGAGTCAAAGTCGGCCCTTAACCGACTGGGCCACCCAGGTACCCTAATATCTATACATCTTAAATCTGTAAAGATCGTGTATTCATCAGAAACGCAATCATTTATTTTTGTATCGAATTACCAATGGCATGATTTCACTCTTCCCAACCTAACCCCAAGAAATCTCTAGTTATTACCCTGCACTCACTCCCTTATCCAAAATGGATTTTGTTTTTCCTTGAATCGTGTGAAAGAGTACCTGGATCAGAAGAAACCGATGAGGCTTTTGAGGCTTTCCTAACAGTAAGGAAGGGCTGCCCCCCTTTGACCAAGAAGCTGCGAAATGTAGGAGGCAAAAGGAGACCCTAGTTCAACAGAACCCAACTACGTTCCTTGCGTCCATCTCCATCCCCACAGCTGGCGGTACTGGAAAGATTTACGCCCGCTCGTAGGAACTTCTCTCTGCTGAGTTTAGAAATCCTTGGCCAGAGCCACCCACACTGAGGGCGGAAGACCGCGCCTCTTTTAAAACTAAGTTTTCTCCTACTGTGGCTGCGCGTGGTTTTGGGGAAGGACTTCAAGCCTCTGCTTATCGCCGCCGCCACCAAGATGGATTGGAAAGGAGCCACACTAGTGCATGCTAATACAGCCTGGAGCTCCTGGGGTCTGGATGATCCACCCGCGCTCTTGCCTTCTAGCGCACCACCGATTCCTGAAAATGCGCTCCTCCGCCCGGGGTTTTATTGAGGTGGGGCAGGGGGCGGGGTGGGGGTTAGGGGCCGACTCGGTGCAACCCTGTCGTGGCTGGAAGCAGGTGCGCGCTGGAGCGGTGTGGGTGCTCAAGGGCTCCCGGTACGTGGGGGGTCGTAAGAGGGAAGGATGCGCGGAGGGAACATAGCGAAAATAATTCATCTCCTCGTTTCTGAAACTGCGCTAGATCCAATTAAAACAAAGGGATGTGGGATAAAGCGAGAACACCCTTTTCCAGACCGGCTCTCGCCCGCTTCCTCCGTCTTCCCTTCCTTCACTGAGGACACGCCCCTCTGGACAGACTGGGAAGCGACTACCACCCGGGCTTTCAGGAGAGTAGGAATCGCCTTTGGTTAACCCTAAAGTGCCTTTCCTCAGCCTTCACACAGAGTAAAGACTAGGGGCAAGCGCTGGGCGGAAAAGAGAACAGCAAGAGTGAGGAAGGCGAATAAAACCGGTCAGGTGTGAGGAGGGTCCAGACTGCAGCGGAAGAGAAGAGGCCGGACTGGGGATGGTGGGCGGATGCGAGGGGTGGGGACCGCGGGCAGGGGCTGCGGGAGCCCTGAGCACGTGCTGGCAGCCCAGCAGAGAGGGGCTGGGCGGAGATTAGGGCTGGTTGCAGAGAAAAGGGGGGGGGGCAGGTGGGACAGGCGGCGCTGGGAGGTCACCTTTGATGTAGACATCGTCGTCGGCGCGCATAAACCACTCATACTTGTCCAGGTAGTGGTCGTGCATGTACTTGATCATCATGAAGGACTTTTTCTGGGGAGGGTAGGAGTCGTCCACCCCCGGTAGCGCGATGACAGGCAGGGGCGGCGGGGGTTGGCTCATCCCGGCGATGGGGCGCTGCTCACTGGAAAAAAACTCCACGCGGCCGGGGATGAAGCGCGCCCAGGTCCGCTGCGCCGCTAGCGCGCGGCTGCCCATGTACTTCTGCGCGGTCATCACTCCCACATACAGGAAATCCCGGGGCCGGGAGCTCGGGGCGGCGGCGCCCCCGTCCCCGCTGCCGTTGTGGCTACTCCCCGGCCGGCCGCTTCTCCGCCGCCCAGCCGCGCCCCCGTCCTCCTCCTCGGGTTCCCCTTCGGCCACGGGGGCGCCTGGCAGCCCGGTTGCGCCTTCGGGCTCGCGTCCTCGCCGCCGCTGCTGCAGCGGGGGTGGCTGTTGCCAGGGGCTGCTCCGAAAACTGGTTACTCCGAGCGCTGCCTCCGGCAGCGGCGGCCCCTGAGGCTCCTGGCGCGCGGGGGGCGGCGACTGCTCCAGCCGCGGCCGGGGCTGAGGCTGGGGGAGCGGCCGCTGCGCGCCAGCGCCGGGGCCAGCGGCCGAGCGGCCGTAGTAGGAGCAGAGGCTGGAGCCGCGTCTCTTCCTCTCGCTCAGCTCGGCCACTCTGGGGGCGATGAGCCAGGACGCGGCGGTGAAGCCCAGCACGAGCCCCAATGCCACGCTCACCCACGGGCGCCGGGAGCGCACGGCCATCGCGACTGCCCCCGGCGCGGACGCTAGCGGAGCGGCTGCGGCGCTGCGCGCGGGTCGCCCGGCTCACGCCCGCCCCTCCTCCGCCTCGGCGCCCCCAGCCCGGGCCGCTGCCCGCCGCCGGCTCACGGTCGGAGCGCTCCGGGCGCCTGGCCCACTGCGGGTTGCAGCCGCCGGCCGCGCTCCCCGCTCCGCTCGAGGTCCGGGCTTCGAACGAGGGTCGGGAGTGAAACTTCTCCCGGCGGCGGCAGAGGCGGCGGCAGCGGCGAGAGGAGCTGCAGGAGGAGGAGGTGGAGCGGCAGCGGCGGCAACGCGTCCGCTCCTAGGCTGCCACCCTGTCACTGGCGCGCCTGGTCCCTCCCTCCTCCCTCCTCCCCGAGCCCCCGCCCTCGCTCTCCGCCTCCCGCTCCCCCCGCCGCCGGCTCCGGACTGGCCCCGAGGAGGAGCCACGAGCAGCACGGCCGCCAGCCCAGAAGAAGCGGGAGCCGCGCTATTTCCCCATTACCCGCCCTTGGACGCCCCCCGTCTCCGCCTCGGTCCGGAGCCGGCCTCCTCTCCGGAAGGAAACGATCCCGGTCGGGCCGCCTCCGGCTTCCAGCGCCGACGCCCCCTCGTTCCTCCTCCCACGGCCCTAGCTCGCCGTCCCATTTCCCGTCCCGTCCCGCCCCTCCGCCGGCCTCGCAACACCCGCGTCCGGGGGCTCCGCTGCCCTCCGCGCGGCGCGTCGGCTCCACTGACCTCATCGGCGGAGCTCGGGTCTCGCAGCCCCCGGCAGGCGCCCGCGGCTCGCGCCCCGCCCGCCTCCCCCGGCCCACAGCGGGTGACGTCCCGGCGTGACCCTTCCCCACTCTGCCCCGCCCAGGCCCGTGCGCGCCCCGCTCCCGCGGCTGCGGGGCTCCTCGCGCTCCCTCGCCGCTGCTCCTCCGGCTCTGCTCTCGGCTCCGCGTCCCGCTCGCCGCTCGGGGTCGCATCCCAGCGCCTCACCTCGCAGCCTTCCTAACTTCCCAGTCCCACCTGCCTCCTGCATCCCCCCCTCCAGTCTGCGCTGCGCACCGCTCTCCCTAGGTGTGTCTTCTAAGAAAGTGTCAGAGGCAGACACTGACAAATCACGGTGAGTGGGGGCTCGTCCCCCAGAGAACGTAAAAATCCCATGTCCCCCACCTGTTGAGCTGGGACGTGTGGGGCTGCCTCCCGGCCTCCGCCTCGGCTGTCGTCCTGGCCTCCTGTCCAGGAGTGAGAACCATGAACTATTTCCTGCCTTGGTAAAGATATATTCAGTAGGACAGACAAATGATGGAGAAATGCGAACAAATTATAGAGCCAATACCCGGAAGATTCAGTTTAAGAAAATTCTTATTACCTCCCCCATCAGTGAAGTTAATCAGAAAATAAAATAGAAAATATAATTTTTATTCTTGGCCATAAACCGTTCTATTTTCTAAGGCACTGACAGGAAATGTCTAACTTGTCCAATTAGGGAGAAATATCTGCAGTGACAGCATCCCAAAGGAAGTTGAACTGTACTGGCCAAAATTATTGAAAGTCACATGGTGAAAAAATTGCCTGAAGACCTGTAACATTTTGAGGAAGGGGACATTTAAAAACCCTCTCTCTCTAGCAGTTGTGAGTCTAATAGCTTGAGGTGCGTTTTGGCATTCTAAACCCTTTCCTCTTCAAATTTCAGTCTTCTGTTTTGTACATCAAATGCAAAGGGATGGTATTGAATAGCATTAGACGTAGGGCTCAATCCCGCCAGGTGCTGGCGTGGTCCCTGGAACAGTAGGCCTGGCCGAAGCCGTCGGAGGGAGGAGTGGTTCTTTCCACACCAGTCACTGGCTGTGCATGAGCTCGTCTGACTAAATGTTTCATCCACTAGACAATGAAGCTCCTTTTCCACGTCTCCGTCTTGCCCAGAAACACTTGAGAATACAGTTTATTGAACTCTTTCTCAAAGTTTAATTTTAGTTAGAATACAAAACTAATCGAACAACCCCCTTCTGATTTAAAAATACATCCTCCTAAGAATTTTTTAACTTCCTAGAATAGTTCAGTAGAACTCTCCTTATAATGGAAATTTTATCTGTTCTGTCCAATAAGGCAGCCACTAGCCATGTATGACTATTGAGCACTTGAAATGTGGGTAATATAGTTGAGGAAATGAATTTTAATTATTTCTTATATTTTTAATGTTCATTTACTTTTGAGAGAGAGAGCACAAGCAGAGGAGGTGCATAATTCTGGTTCAAAGTTAACGGATTTCCTTATTTTCTTTTTTTTTAATTTTTAATATATTTATTTATTTTCGAAAGAGAGAGAGACAGAGCACGAGTGGGGAAGGGGCAGAGAGAGAGGGAGACACAGAGTCTGAAACAGGCTCCAGGCTCTGAGCTGTCAGAACAGAGCCCCTCATGGGGCTCAAACCCACTAATCACAAGATCATGACCTGAGCTAACATCTGAATGGACTGAGCCACCCAGGTGCCCCTAATTTCTATTTAAATAATCCTATATGTCTACCATGTTGGACAGTACATTTCAAGAGGAAATCCATAAGGTGTGGACCATAAGGTACAGTCAAGTGTGAAGAATACCTATACACCAGCATACTCTGCCCTGAAATATCCAGAAGGGTTTCATTCGAATGAGTGCCATTCTTTTAGCAGATCTACAAAATCATTAATTCTCATGGCCACAAATAACCCACTCATCAACTGTTATAATACTGTAAAATAAAGTTAACTTTATTCATTCACATAGTCAATAAATATGTACTAGAGATTAAGCATTAGGGTGGAAATATCAACAAGATAGTCACTGCCACCTCTAATGAAGTTTATAGTTCAGGGAGAAGACAGACATTAAGCACCACACTACAAAATGAACACACTGGTGACAAATGACATGAAGGGGAAATACTTAGAAATTATTTACAAAAGCATCTAATTTATCCTGAAAGTCAGGGAAGCTACTTGGAGACATTGAAATAAAATGAAAAATATTGAAACGATGTTCCCTATGGGCTAAATGACTTTGGGAAAATTATTTAAATTGTCTGAACTTTAGATTTATAATCTGCAAATACATTTCTGTGAGGACTTATTAAGACATTACATGTAAGTGCTTAGCAAAGTGTCTAGTTCATTGTAGGCACCAAGGAAATGTTAATTCTTCTCGTTTTCCAAACCTTCATGATAAAATCTCTCAGATATCACTTTACTTATTTTTAGTGATATTTATCCTTTCATTTACTTAGCACATATTTATTTAGCATCTACCAAAATCCAGCCACTATTCTAGAGGAACAGGAATAAACAAAATACAGTCCCTGACTTCATGGGGGTTATTCTACTAAGGAAAGATTACACACACACACACACACACACACACACACACACACACACACACCATGCAAGCATGCACACAAATTCATATAATATGCTAGGTGATACAGTTTTTTAAAAAAAATAGGTATGTACAAGTATTGGGTGAGGCCGTTTTAAATTGATTGGTCAGAGAAGTTCTTTCTGATAATTTTAGCACAGAACAGAAAAAAGTAAAGAAACCAACCATAAAGATATCTGAGGCAAGACTTTCCAGGAGGAGAGAATAGCCAACACAAAGTCTTGAGATAGATATGGTTACACTGAGGAACAGCAGAGAGACCGGTGTCAGTTGGAACTGGGAGAGAGGTGGTGACCAGTTGGTCATTTAGGCTAGTGCTCTTCAACAAAATTAGAATGTGAGCCATAAATGTTAGACCTGCAATTTAGCTTTTTTCTTGTAGATTCAGTTTTTTAAAAAAAGGTAACATTAATTTAACTGACCAAGCCACCCAGGTACCCCTAGGTAAAATCAATTTAAATAACATTTTACTTAATGTATCCAAAATATTGTTATTGCAACTTATATATAAATAATATAAAATTATTACTGAGGAAATTTACGTTCTTTTAATCAGCCCTAAGGTTTCCAAATCCATGTGTACGTCACACTTGATAGCACATCTTAATTCAAACTAGCTACATTTCACATGTTCAAGAGACACATCTAACTAGTGTCTTATCATGTTAGACAGTGAATATTTTGAGGCTTACAGATATTTGTAAAGGCTTGGTCTTTCATTCTGATTGATAATGAAGGTGTTGAGGAGAATGGTGGTTATGTTTTTTATTTACTTCTGTTTTACAAGAACCTCTCTAGCTGCTGTGCAAAGAAAAAGCTAGAGGGGGACAAAGGTACAATCAGGGAAAGCATTTAAAGCATTACTGAAGTGACCTCCGTGACTTCCCACACAGTATCTGCACCTCTTCCCCATTTTTATTTAGTAGAAGTTTTGAGAAAGTTTCTCCTAAGAGTGTAATTTCATATACATTGAGATTCCTCCAGCCATTTATTTGGTACTTCCCAAGGTCAGTGAAGTAATTTTTTCATACTTATTTTAATTTTGAGATACATGAGTTTTCAGGTAGGCAATTTTCTGGAAAATTTCTACCAAGGACTAAGTTTTTTATTAAAACAAAGAATAAAGTAATACTTGCTAGGAAAGAAGTTTTTAAAAACCTGTATTTGAATAAGAGGGGTGATAAGTGACAAATTTGTATGGAAACTTTTTACCATTGAATAAACATACTAAATGTATACTAAAATATAGCCAGATCTGAACACGATGTTGGAATAAAGCTTACAGAAGTGTAGATAATTCTAATATTGCTGTTCAAAAATGATAAGATTGTTCTTACCTAAACAAGAATGTTTCAATATTTCAATAGGTACACTAGTAAACCACCTGATGAAACCTCTGTGAAGCAGCTCAGCAGATTTTGAGGAAAGCAATAACAACAAAAATTTCTAAAACTTATGGTATTTTCCAGAAAAAAAGTGCAAAATTGATATCCTGTCTCCTCTCAATCCGTTAGCAACTTCAATCACCCTGAAATCATGTCTGACACACTTAGAGAGAGCCATTCAGCAGACGGCTGTGAAGGTACTCCATTGCGTGTTTGA